AGATGAGAAGGCTCAGACTTTGTCTCAACAAAAGGGAACCTTCTTCAACAAGGAACTGGGGCTGCAAGAGGGTGCAATTGCAGCATCTGGCCGTTCTGTGTGCTTGCACTGCAAAATGCCCATTTCTCGAGGAGCTGTGCGCTTCAGCTGGGCATGGTCCCGTGCCCGCCCTCCTGGATGGATTCACGGCCATTGCACCCTTTCCTATATCAAGGCCAACAGCAGTTTGCAGGAGCCATGCATTGAAAGGTTGAGAGCTATCATTAGCAATGCTCCCAACACGCCTTTGCCAGCGTTCTCCAGTTCCTCCAGTCAGAGCGCTGGGCAGTCAGAGATATCTTCATTGGCCAGTAAGATTTTGGAGTCACTGCAAAGGTAGGAGCTCCAGTAAAACAAAAGAGTGAAAATAGTCTTGTGGGAGTGTTCTGGAGTGCGAAGGCTTTGAGTTGAGGACTTGTTTTCTTAATTATCATCGGCATTGGTGACAAAAGTTGACAACCCACTGCTTTGGCGCCTGAATCCTGATTCAACCTGACCCTGACCCCAACAGCTTTTCTAGCATGTTTGCTTGCCGCGCATGCCAGTCAGCCTTCGACTACATGATGAACGCAAAGGTTGGACCCGAGCAAGAACCGTTAGGACTGCGACTCCAGCCTGAGTACAACTTGGAGGTGCTCCATTTGCAGATACCCGCATTTGTTTAGCTGGTTTGTTGGAACAGTGGAAACGCCAAAAGGATTTGTTTGACATACGCAGACTCGCATTGGCCATTACACATATTTTTGTGAGAATGCATCTTGCAACAAACCATTAAACCATTGTCTTTTAGTTGCTTCTGTACTCAGATGCTCAAATGAAGTTTTTGGAGTAAGGAGTGAGAAGTATGGTTTGCCACAGACACGAAGCCGCATATACATGATAATGGTGAAGAAGGATCTGTTGGATGTTGGACAGCTCTCGAGTTTGGCTCACCTTATTTCCACGACACTTGCTGGGGCAGTTACTATAACTGCAACTCTCCAGCAAATCAGATCGTACGTGCGGAATATTTTGCTGGCACTGGATCAAGAACCCACCCTGCCCACCTTTTCCAAGGACTGCCGTATTTGGTGTCTTTTGCTTCCAAAAACCTAGCTTTCAGGTCCTTAATGGTCCTTAGATTTTTTTTGTCCAGTTTATGGTTTCCAGGCCATCCGGGCACCCACCTCTGCGCTCCCAATCCTTCCACATTTGCACTCGTTTTTCGCGACACACAGCCCAACTCACAACTATATTTTATATATAGATCCATGACTTTCACAATACTTGTGGCTATGTTTTATATATAGATCCGATCGGATCCAACAAATTTTGTTGCAGTTTAGACATAGATCCAGAGAACTTTTCGCAAATGGGCTCCCCTCCCAGTGTCCCTTTTTGGTTGGATACAGGCCAGATTTCAACCACCCCTGAGGTTTCCCCACTCAGTTTTCCTCTGCGGTAGGACGGCAAACGCTCCAAGAAGGCCCAGGATCTGATGGCATCACTTTATGCCAAGTACGCGATCGGGACAAGGCAGAGACCTTACACCAGTGAACAAGATGTTGAGGTGGTGGAGCGCCTGAACCAACGCGAGATGCAAACCTTGAATGTACAAGCTGCCTTTCTGCAGGCAGGTTGTGTGGAGGAAAACAAATGCTTTGTGATGAGACAAGAGACTATTGTAACTTGAGAACTAGACAAACACTACACTACTACTACAGCACTACTATGCTAGGAGATGTCAGATGTTGTTATTTCTTGTCGTCATGATTCATGATCCATGGTCCATGTTGAGTCTTATGAATTTGAGCTTAGTGTTTTTTTCAGGGAAACCATTGATAGTTCAGAACCGCTCCAATCCGATCGGAACTATATATGAGCAATTCCCACATATATAGTCCGGATCCGCTCCAAACCGATCGGGACTATCTTTACATTGTTTCAGTTATAGTCCGGATCCGCTCCAAACCGCTCTGAACTATATATACAGCCGAACCTGAATTAGATCCAATTTAGATCCAATTAGATCCTTTAGATCCAGCCAGATTTGAAGGATACATAGTCCGGATCCGATCAGAACCGTTCTGAGCTATATATACTTCAGAAGTAAATATAGTCCGGATCCGTTCGGAACCGTTCTGAGCTATGTATTAAAGAATGGGATATATAGTCCGGATCCGTTCAGAACCGTACAGATCTATTTCTAGTTGATGCACACTATAAATAGTCCGGATCCGTTCAGAACCGATCGGAACTATTTGTGTTCAGCTCAAATTTTCTTATATTTTTTCTTATTGCCATGATATAATGTATATTTTATGTTGATATATGATATATGATTATAACTTTAACATAACTTAACTTAATGTAGCGTGTTCCGTGTTCCTGTTGTGTTGTTATATCATGTTGGATTTTTCCTATGTTTCTTTCAATCTATTGCTTTTTTGACCTTGACCTTGAATCTGTATTTTTCCCTAACAACATAGGATGGGATGGACTCTGAAATCGCATCAGGAAATTGGATGTCCTCCAGTGCGTGATCTTTGCACAACAGACTTGGCCAGCCAAAGCCTTAATCTTTTGAGCAAAAAAGCAGCAATCGCAAAAGATAGAATACATACAAAGAACTCCTAATTTGGTTGTCCCAGGAAGTGTGCAGCGGTATGCCAACACATTTCACGGCACAGTGTCAGCAATAACCACTCACGTGAAAATATGGGACTTCCAATCAAAGTCCCTCCTCAGTGGCGAGGACTGAGACAGCTGGTTTCATTAGTCACCAGGTTGGAAGCGTTAATCAAAAGTTGGAGTTCCATTGTTTAAACTGTTCAGGACCTTTTGAGCTTGCAAGGCTACGACTTGATGAAGCTCAACCTGAACCAGAAGCAGCAGGACGAGGCCTTTAGCTACTCTGAGCTGAATGCCATTGCTGGACACTCTGCCAGAATATTAAACATTGACGGACTTTTCAAGAGCAAGAGTTGAAGTTGTTGGACCATTGTCTGGCAGTCTGGATATTACCTCATTGTAGGGTGCAGTGGTTGTGACATATTTTATAACTCCCTTTTCGCGCCTCAGGAGATGGCTGGTCAATCCCAGTAGCCGGTGCTGTTTTCATGGCAATCGTCGCTTGTGTATTTCCAACCCAGAGGACAGGACAACCTGCAGTGAAGCTAGACACCCCAGATCCAGCCCCAAGGTTGCTGCGCTTGCAGCGCTTCTCATCGTGGACACTGGATCACGAGTGTGAATCTGATTCTGAACCTGAGGCCACTCCTGAGTCAGAGTCAGATTCAAAAAGCTGGGAAATACTGTCCGATGAACCCTCAGCTTCAACACCCATTGACGAGGCGCCACCAGTGCCAGGAATAGATGTTCAGATGGTCAGTGAACTTCAGGATGAAGATTATTGTTCCACTTGCGAAATGTGTGATCAGCTGATAGGTCCAGGCAGTACCATGGTGACTTGGCAAGCGGGGCCCAACGCAATAGCCCAGTACGTCCATGCTGCATGCTGCATTTGTTTTGCACTGTCTCAGGGCATTGCCCTAAAGATGATGCATGCCCTGGTCGATTTTCAGCCATTGGCTGAGCCATCATTGCAAAGCTTGATCAATTTGCTGTTGCATGAGATTCTTGACAGGACAGATGTTCATTTCCAGGAGCACCCAGTTCGCCGACAGCGCCCAATTCAGATGGACCGTCCAGATGCCCCACCATCAGCTACCAGTGATCCCTTGGGGGATACCTTGGTCGTTGGCTCGCCACCACCTACCGATCAGGAGGATACCTTGGTAGATACCTTGGTCATTGGCTCGCCACCACCTACCAATCAGGAGGATACCTTGGTAGTTCCTTCACAGCCACCTACACATGCTGCGGGACCTGAGGAGACAAATGCTGGATACACACCACAAGACGTTGAGGACTCGCAGGCATTGACATGACCCACAGGTTCTCCATTGCAGCCGATTGCAGCCTTCATCTTTGAGTGCAATGGACAGTGCCATGACATGGAGGCCAAATTTTACCTGAGGAGAACTGAGAGTATTGAGGGACACCTCTCTAGTTTTGGCTAGCCAGCGTGTAAACCGAGGCATAGGACTAGTGTGATTTGAGATTTGAGCTTGCAAAACCGTTTGCTTGCAGCCTGAGTCTGGGTGTTGAAAGTTGTCATAAAGTTGCTATTGGGAGAAGTCGTCAACACAGGATACTATACTATACAGTGCTTTCTTACTGCACTGCGCTTGCCTGTTTTTGTGCACTCCGCTCTGTCATTGAAAGTCAGCGTCGCATGTTGCTTGAGTCCTGATTGCATGTCATGATGCTTCTCCTTTCTTGTAGCCCTTTTGACACGCAATCTGTGCAGCCAGTTGCACTTTGGTCGACTATCTTGTGAAGTTCATGGCTTCGCGGGCCAGTGAGACTGCGGCCCCAGACGGGCCAAGAGTAGTCAAAAAGGCGAAGACAGGTGCTGATTTTGAAATTCCAGATGTCGAGCTTCCAGAATGTCCAGATGGCTCATGTCCAGCCTGCAGGCAGAAGTTTGGGGAACCAGATAGAGTGACCTGGCAATGTCTGTGTGATTGCCTGATGTTACTAATTTTTTGATTTATGATATGATATGATCTTTCAGTGGCTGAAATAGATTGCACGTTTCATTTCAACTTCAAATCAAATCTTGTTTCTTTCCCATCCACTTGGCCCAGGACGCCCCGTCTCATGTCGCGATTCTGGTGGTGTGCTGCAAGGGGAATGACAATTCTTTCTGCACCAGGTGCTTGTACATAAAGCGCGGATCACTGGGGAAGCTTACTTGTCATGACTGCCTGTGCGCCCTATATGGATGTCCCGCCCTGATGGCCAAGTCACTTGGCCAATGAACGGGGTTTCATCTTAAGGACTCAGAGTTGCTGCAACCATTCTTGTTTCTTGGTGTCATGTTTACGGTACACCAGTCACATTCTAGCCTGAGGTTTATGGCTTTGAGGAAGAAAATGGTGCAAGCAGTGGCAGCAAACCCCTCCGCTAGACCCCGGCATGAAGTGCTGAACGTGGCCCTGTACATTGAGAAAAAGAAGACGTCCTTTATGGAGTTCTACCAGGTTGGGTCAATTTTGAAGAGATTGTTAAGATTAGATTGTTTGTCACAAATTATGTCCAGCCCAATTCTGTGTAGAAATTTGTAGGGTGTAAAGCTTGTAGTGAAGTTTCTTGTCAGGACGGGTGGTGGCAGTCGGTGGAGGACTACTTCACAGAGAAAGCTTCCCCAGACATCAAGAAGAAATACCGCACGTTTGCAGCCAAAAAGAATTGGATCAAGGTGGCCTGATTTCAAAGTGTTACTCACACCTTTGCCTTCCAATGTATTTGTGTTGATTCGTTCATTCAGGCGTCAGAAAATTAGTCCATTTTTCTACTCTATCTATGAATGAGTCTATGAAATTTTGAGATTTCAGTGAGCTGAGGAGGTCTTGGGATTGGAGATCCAATTGGTGTCCCGGATTCATTGATTCAGATTGAGGGGGTGATTCAGGTCACACCCAATGGTCCAAGGAGGATTTTCTTAACTTTCCAGGCAGTCAGTATCTAGTACAGTACTGTATTTGATTCAACACCTCCTCAAGACCAAGGATGACCGTGGCAAAGAGGGTGTCGTGATCATTGAAGACGACAAGCGTCGAAAGGTTCGTGTGGGGACAAATTGTAGCACTTCAAGCGTGAAGACATCAGAGCACGAGACCCGGCAAACGCGTGACGAGCACTTTGAGAAGGAATCTGCTGGCTTGTTGAACGTCAAGTTCAACACGCAGGATGGACGGGTCCAAACAAGTGTGATTTTATCCAGGCATTACATTGCATCGTTTTTGTTGAGGTTCCTTTTATTGATGAGTGAGTAAATTTTGGCAGCCAGGCGAAGGAAGCAGAGGCGCTTGGCCAAGATCCAACGCCTGAAGAGCAGGAGGCGGACCAACAGCCAGACACTGACAAGATAGAGAGTGACTCAGATTCTGATGATGGATGGAACTTCAACCCCAAAGACCAGGAGGAGATTCCCAATGCCAAGCGTGCCAGGGCCCCCAGGGCCAAGCAGGAGACAGCAGGCAAGAGAACTGGATCAGCCGGAGCAGCAAAGCTTTTGCAAGGCAAGCAACTACTAGACACGCTCTCATCCATGACTGCGCTTGGGATGTGGGATGGCACCATCAAGGAGAAGGATGTCTCCAACCGTCTCCAAAAAGCGCGGCAGCTCTCTGAGTTCCTTGAGCAGGAAGGTTCTGATGAACATGTTTCTGTTGCCAAAAGCTTGGCCACTTCTGCCAACACCATTGAGGAGACTGCAAACACCCTTGAAGCCGTGCAGTTTACAAAGCCATGTGTGGAGTTGCAGAATGTTGATGGCCCCCTTCTGGACCGTTTGTGCAATCTTCCTGCAGACTGTCTCACTGCGGTGCTGACTAGTGCAAGCCGCAAGCTGGTGGAGGACAAGGGCTTGCTTAAAGTTCAGCCTTGAATTCCACTGCTTGCTGACTCGTTCAAGTCATTCACAGCATGTCATGTCAGTTCAATCATTATTTTTATCCCCAGGACATGGCAGAAGATGGAGTGGCTTCAGGCAAGAAGAGCGAGGCGTTCTTCATGTTCATCAGCATCGGCAACATGGGCATGCCCGGTCTTTCCTTCTGCGTCCTTCTGGAGAAGGGAAACTCCAAATGCCCATTGAGCTGCAAAGATTTTCTCCAGCTCCAGAAT